GTGCATAAGCATTTTCCTAGTAGTGTAGTAGGACTCCCCCCCCTTGGCGCGCCCCTTGGTGGCCGGCCTCCTCCTCCCCTCCTTTATATACGGGGGTAGGGGGGCACCCCAATGCACAACAGTTATTCTCTTAGTCGTGTGCGGTGCCCCCCTCCATAGTTTACTTCTCAGGTCATAGCGTTGTAGTGCTTAGGAGAAGCCCTGCGCGGATCACATCACCATCACAGTCACCACACCGTCGTGCTGACGAAACTCTCCCTTGACCCTCTGCTAGATCAAGAGTTCAAGGGCGTTATCAAGCTGAACGTGTGCTGAACTCGGAGGTGTCGTACGTTTGATACTAGATCGGTTGGACCGTGAAGACGTTCGACTACATCAACCGCATTAACCTAACGCTTCCGCTTTCGGTCTACGAGGGTACGTGGACACACTCCCCCTTCCCTCTCGTTGCTATGCGTCTCCTAGATAGATCTTGCGTGATCTAGGAATTTTTTTGAAATTGCATGCTACGTTCCGCAACACTGGCGGCCGGTGGCGGGGAGGGGATTTCTGGTGCCTTGTCTCCAGCTAGTAGATAGGTAGGGTTTTACTTCCCGCAAGGGCGGCGTTTGGACGGATGGCGGCGCCTCTTCTTCAAGTTAATTTTCTGGGCTTCGATCGTCCTCATGTTCGTTCGATGGGACGGATTAGACGGAGCTCCGGTGTATTTTCCTGCTAGCTCCTCGGGGCGGCGAGGTTAGGGTTTCTCGCCATGCGTATGCAACGGCGATATATGGTGTCAAATTCTTTAGATCAATTCAAGAATTCAATGGTGACGATTGCAGCTCCGGAACGCTGGTCCTTAGGGGCACGTGCATGAAGACATCCCTGTTGTCATCGACAAGGTCAGGCCGGCTCCGGTACAGAAGCGGCGACAACAGCGTGTCGGCGGCTCGTTTTGGCGGCGGCAATGGTCGTTCGGTGCTCCATGGACCTCGATGTAAATTTTATTATGTTTGAGGTGTTTTGTACTTTCAGTGAATCATTATAATCAATCTGATCTTTTCGCAAAAAAAACATACAAGGCTTTGACTCTTGGAAACTAATTAATCAAGATCTTTTCTAACATTGATGGGGTACATAATTGATTGGCTGAAGAAGGTAAATCATATTTGATGGGGTACTGATGAGTGACTGAGTGGTATGATTTTCTGTGATTGATTTCTGACTGCTTTGTGAGTCGATTTACAGTTCATGTTCCTTATGCTTTTCATGATTTCTGGTCCTTGTACATTCTCTGAGAAGAAGATTGTGATGGTTCTTGATCCAAGTGAAACTGATCCAACAGATGAGATGAAGAGGAAGCAATGGGCATTGGCGAGGAAATTTCAGCGTAGATTCTGCTACGTTTACAATGACATGTTCGGTGCAGGTTTGTCGAGGCGACTGGCTCATTACGAATGATGCGAGAGGTGAGCTAGTCTGTGTGGAGCATGGAACTTGCGAAAATAAAAATTATACTCCCTCCGTCTAGATGCATTAGTAGGCATATTAGAAAGTGCACCGCAACCTAGGTGCGAAGAGATTGGGCTAGGAAAAAAATTGAATCACGAATGAAGCCAATCACATTATTCCTTTCTCAACTAACAATGTGCTATTAATTAGAAGACCTATTAAACTCCCAATAGCGTGCCGCAACAATTGCATGCATTGGTCTTTTAATTAATAGATGAAGTCTAATTAATATGCATGAAACTAGTACTACTGTTTGGCGCCTTAGCTTTTTGCACCGAGACCGCGCTATTAATTAGAAGACCTCTTAAAATCTCAATAGGGTGCCGCAGAAATTGCATCAATTGGTCTTTCAATTAATAGACAGAGTACTACTATTTCACGCCTTAGTAATTGGAAAACGTTTGGAGCCGGACTGCCGGCCGAACGTTCCACCGGTCCCTCGCGGCTCGTTGGATCAAGTTAAATCCTACGGCCCAGCAACGCGCTCACCCCACCTTATCCCTTCGTGAGCTTTATCCCCTTCGTCGTCTTTCTCGAATCTCCCTTTTTTCTGTTTTCTCTCACCTCACGCATAGGCAGATCGAAACATAGACGATGAAGGTGCTTTTCTCTCCTTCTCCCTGGCCTCTCTTTTCTTCCTCTCTGGCCTCTCTCTCCTCCTCTCTGGTCGTAAGGTTCAGTTTTTTGTCGTGCCTGTCGTGAAGCCAGTTCATGGGGAGGCTGCATGCTGCAGCCCGCGTCCATGGCCTGCAAGTTCTCGGGCATGGACTACGAGACCACGGGAAGCTGCGAGCTGCAACCGCTGCAACCGTGTGATGCAACTGGCGAGGGCGTTTTGCTGGAACCCGCAACACCAACTGTTGGCGCGACAAAAGCGTCAACCCGTGTGTAAAATAGCTTCAGCCGGCGAAGAAGAAAGCTTCAAACCCATGAGAAAAAAGCTTCAACGGGTGTGAAAAAAAGCTTCAACAACAGAAAAAGCTTCAACCGGTGTGTAAAATAGCTTCAACTGGCGAAGAAGAAAGCTTCAAACCCATGAGAAAAAAGCTTCAACGGATGTGAAAAAAGCTTCAACAACTGAAAAAGCTTCAACCGGTGTGTGAAAAAGCTTCAACCGGCGAAGGAGGAAGCTTCAACCATGGAAAAAGCTTCAACGAGTGTGGGAAAAAGCTTCAAACTGTGGAAAATGTTTCAACCGGCGCGGAAAAAGCTTCAACCGGCATGGAAAAAGCTTCAACCAGTGCGACATGCTGACAATGGTGCGAGCGGCTACACCGGGAGCTGTGGCCAACAGCATGGCGGTGCTACGGTGGCGACGGCTAATTGCTGCAACGATGAAGGGGTCAGGCGTTCTACGGTGAGGTCCTGCTGGAACAAGCGGGACGGGTGCTGCGGGGACAAGCGGGACGGGTGCTGCGGGGACGGCGACCGGCAGCGAGACGGCGACCGGTGGGGGGACGTCGACCGATGGCGAGACGGCGACCGGCGGGGGGACGTCGATCGACGGCGACCTGGTGATGCTTCAAGGTCAGGCCTCGCGCGTCCATGGCGGTGTCCTGTGGAACCGTTGTTTCCTTTTAGATTAGACGTGATTTTTGTTGAGAAAAAAACGATTCAGAGGCCTGATCTGACGGTGAGCAGTAACACAATCTGACGCCCCAGATGCGACGGGCGGAACCGTTTGCGCCGGTCCGCCGGTGCCTAGTGCTGCCCTTAGTATTTTGCATTGAGACGGAGGGAGTACCTGCCTTGTCATTGCTAAGCATTTACCATGCATGTAGGGAGGACAGCGGCGTTCACGTCGTGCACTACATTATGGAGTTCACCGTACTTTACCTCCGTTCGACGCTTACCAAGGTGAGAAAAGTGGCAAGCCTCTCTGTTTGCTTTTCTAGTTCGATAAACATGCGTGAAAATGTACAGCAGTATGAATGTCACTGACTTATTGTGTCTCCCTTTTGTTATTTCCCCATGAGCACCAAAGTAATAAAATCGCATACCACATTGTCATCATGAAGGAGAACAAATGAGATATCCCGGATTTCCTATACTAAGAGATCGTGGACTGAATGGAACAAATAGTACTTCGGAATTCGTATGGCACGGTCAGAACTTTTGGCCTCGCGTGTGCTTGCCGGTGCAAATTCCCCGGATAACGTTGATGTTTTTTTTTTGGCAGCACCACACCACCCCATCGGTCCGCACTATGGACCAGTATTTGAATTTGTAGTACTTGCAGACTAGTGTGCCTGTATGGACCAGTATATGAATTTGTACTTCCAGACTAAAGAGGACCAATTAGCACTACGTCCGTGGTATCGTAGTTGTATGGGCAAATTACTTCTCCATGTGAATCTGAATTTGCTATTTATGTTGTCTCTTAGTTTGCAAGTACGATTTCTCCATCAGCCTGGTCATAATGAAAGTATCATAATCAGTATTATGCATGTCAATTAGACTTTTTTGGATTATGTGGCACACAATTATATGAGGAAAGAGAGGGTGTGGTATCATATCATGATACCGTATCATATTAAATGTTATACTACTTTGTGTCATGCATGGCAATTAATAAGGCAACATAAGATACTAATTTATGATGTACTATGCATTACGGAGGTAGTATCATATACTAGTTTCATATGCATGATACTAATATATGATACTCCCATTACAACCAGTCTCAGTATGCTGGGCTATGTGAATCTGAATTCTCTATGGTCTATCTATTTTGCATGTACAACTTCCGTATCAGTGTGTTGGGCATAAAACCAGCTTAGTGACGTTCAAACAAAAAATGATTGCTGGTGGGTGACAAAAAAATTGCGGTCTTTGTTCGCAGCAATGTCGTGCATGCTTGGCGAACCGTTGTTACTGCCCTCACAGTCCTGCAAGTGTGATTGCACCTAGGAAGCGACTGGAAGAGGATTGGGCACGCATGTGTGGGGACACGCACTTTGTGGACCGTTGATCTACGCGGAGATTCGCGGCATTGGTTATGTACCGATATACATGTCAATTATTGTGCGCCTTAAAAACATAAAATGGAAAGATAGAAATAAATATAGAACAGAAAACGATTTCTTAGTTCTTGTTTCTTCTTATCTTCCTCTTCCACAAAGCATCCATGGTTAAGCCTACTTTGAATTGGTCCTTGCATATTGAAGGCCTCGAAGATAAGAACACGCGTGACAGCATATTGGTAAGAAAAGGGACATATTTCTCTAAGAAGCTTGATTTTCGTATCTAAAGGGCAGAAATCATCTTCTTTCGCCAAAGACGATACTATATATGGGCGGACAAAAGGTGGAAATTGGCAATGTCAAATATATAAAAACAAAAACTTGACAACAATGTAAATAATATCAAGCTTTTTACGATAGCTAATATCCCGACTTAATCCTTGATACAACTTTACCGCGATCCCTATTTCAACTAAAATAGTTGTTTTATTATAGCAACCCTGCTCCGGACACGTTCATCTAGCATACTTTTGCCGATTCAGATTAGCATGTAGGGTGGCAGGTTGGGCATTTTGCCTGGCACTCTTCAAAAGTGTGCCAACATGGGGCGCCCGGCAGCGAGAAGCAGCATGTGCAGTCTTGGTCATAGCCTTCACCTGGGAAATTGGGGTCGCAATTCCTTGCGACACACCATTTCAAGGCGAGCTTATCCTCTTCTAGTGGTGACTCCACAGCAGTAGCATTAGCAGTTATGTTGACATGATGGTCTTGATAGATACTTCTAGCTACAGGCAATATGTAGAGTTTGTCAGTCCACAATGCGCAAATATATAAATATATACCTCGTATAACCAGCCGCAATAAAATTTTCAAGACAATAAATTAATTGCAAAAATATATAAATAAGATAATGATGTTATGCTTGCCTTGTCCGACCACAACAAGGGACCCGATGAGCAACAAAGTAACCACGTGCGCCAGACCGCTCCCTCTCATGTCTGATATTCAACTTCTGACTAATGAACTTTAAGAGAGAGTTAGACGCAAGAGGCAATGTCTATGACCTCGATCTCACGGCTTATATAGAGAGGTACTGTGCAGTCTTAATAAAAGGATCTGTTGGCACATTCCATACACGTACGCTTGCGTTTCGATTTGCAGATCCCACAGTTAATTATAATAGCTTACATGCATGTGCATTATGGGAAATATACTCTCGTAATCGCTGGTCGCCCTAAAAAAAAGATATACTCCTAATTATATATGAATGCGTATAATCGGCCGGATCTGCCGATCTCAAAGTTATTTCTTTTTTGTAGTAGTACATACATCTTCGTGCGAGATATTCCTGAGGTGCTGATCACGAATGCGTACACGGCAAGACTTTTTTTTAGAATACGTACACGGCAAGACTTGTTACCATGCATGCGGATTTCATGTACCTGGGGCTGGTGATCCGTTAATCTACCGAGTTATTTGTTACCATACATACTCATATGCGTGTGCAATTTGTGAGCTTGTTAGCAGTTTATCCCATCCGTGTGTGTAATCACGTTCCCTAAAAAAAAGTCACGTACATGTCATTTTATTTCTCGGTGCAACACAAACCAGGTGCCTTTTCGGAGACATGCTGTGAAAAACGTCGGCGTTGCATACTGAGCATACCTCAGATTGTTAGGTTTCTTATGATGGAACCTCCCCACCAGGGTTAAGTCTTCGAGTTTTCACTAGTGCTAGCTCTTTTCTGAATTTATTTCAGACTTTTCGGCGAAGTCAGTTCAGTGTCAGAAGACATTCCTATCAACCATGGAGGCACCAAACAAGATGCAAAATAAGAGGGACGAGACAGAACATTGAAATGAAAGGCCCTAATGTGACTTCGTTAATCTCAGGACGTTCTGCCGGCTCAATATGCCCGAGCTGCTCATAAAGGTATGGTGTGTCCATTCATAGAAGTGATTATATGTGCGTGTATATGTGCATCTACGTTTGTACTGTCTCCAAACAAAGAAAAACGTCAATGTTTCTTGCAGGTTACTTATTCTTTTCCGGTCGCATCTCAGAATCGAGCCCGCGATGCCCTGGCGAAATGAGTGCTTCTACGCCGTCTCGGCCTGCTGCAACAAGACGAGCCAATCTCCGACTCCATACTCGAGAGATACGCACGCATGTTCGATCGCCCCCTGGCCGCCGACACGATTGCCGCGCTTGCGG